CATCAATTGTCTACCAGGAATGGAGGCAGCCTGGTTATCACTCACACACACAGAAAGACAAGGCTTAAGCCTCACAGACAAAATCTTGGCTATGACTCTATAAGCCACCCCACACAAGCTAATAGGCCTATACTGCTTCAAGGTAGAAGGATTCAAGCATTTTGGAATCAAAGAGATTAAAGTATGGTTCCAACTACTCTGCAGCCTACCAGATTCAAAAAAACTACCCACAGCTAAACAAAAATCTTTACAAATGACATCCCAGAATTTTTGGAAAAAGAGAGGACTCATACCGTCCTGCCCAGGAGCTTTTCCAGAATCCAGACTGAACAAAGCAGATTTGATCTCCTCAACTGTAACTGGGGAAATGAGATTTGAATTCATGTCTGCAGTAGTAGCTTCAGGAATAAGTTGCAGGATATCTTCTTCCCCACTGGATCCTTCATAGCAAAAGAGGTTCTCATAGTATCTGCATATATGATCCTGAATTTCCTCCTTAGTGCTCAACACCTTGTTGTCATCATCCACCAGAGTTGAAATAGTATTCAGCCTCCTTCTTTGCATTGTAACAGCATGGAAGTACTTAGTATTAGAATCCCCCTCTTTGATCCACTGAATTCTAGCCTTCTGAGCCCAAAATTCCTCATCTTCCTTAGTGATCCTATCCAAAGCTCTCCTCAATCTCTCCCATTCTCCCCAATCCCTGTTCTTTCCCAATTCACTCATCACTTCCAGTTTTTTTGTCACCTCCTGCTTCTCTTGTTTCTGATCTCTCCTGAAAGAGGCACTCCATTTTAATAAGGAAACTCTAGCTGATTTAATTCTCTCAGACACTTGGTACATTGGAGTTCCTGTTTGCTCTTTACCCCATCCTTCTTGAACAGCTTCAAGCACACCTGCTCTCTTCAGCCATCTCCTATCAAGATAGAACCTCTTAGCCTTAAACCCCATCACCTCTGGCTCATCATTGAGATATAGCAGTCTGTGGTCTGAAGCACTTCTAAAGACATTCTCCACCTGAGCATTTTGATGAGAGGCCAACCAACCATAGGATGCAAAAATCTTATCAATTTTTTCCTCTATAAACCCCTCTTCTCCTCTGTTATTTCCCCATGTAAAATTATGCCCCCGTAATTGCATCTCCTGCATCCCCATCCTAGATATAAAATCATGAAAACCCCTAAATTCCGCTTCAGCCTTCCTCCTACCCCCTCTCTTCTCACTATGGTCACAGATTTCATTCCAATCCCCCCCTAAAAGCCACTTGCTACCCCACTTACCTTTAGCCCCTTCTAAAAAAGTCACTGATTCACCCTCTCCCTCCTATCTGAACTAGCATAAACAAAAGTAATCCACAAGGTTCCCTCATGTCCTATACCTTCCACCTCAATCTCCAAACAGAAATTAGTACTTAGAATTTGTTTAACCACCACATCCCTGCTCCAAAGAACCAACAGCCCCCCACTCAAACCCTGAGGATCAACAACAAACCATCTCCCTTTATAACCTATTTTATTACAAACAGCCTTGACAAATTTATTTTGTTTTTTAGTTTCAGAAATAAAGACAAAATGTGGATGGTGGAGTCTAGAAGACTCCTTAATTTGTGAAACTGTAGAGGGTCCACCCAACCCTCTACAGTTCCACTACTCAAAACTGAATTTAATTTAGGTCTTTGTACTAACACTAATTTCATCACTCAAACCTAACTTAACCATTTTTATTCAAAATTAATTATGATTAACAAAAAAATAATTATAACCAAAATATTTAATCACAAAATCTATATCCAATCACACCTTCAGGCTAAACTGACGGATAAGTTTTGTAAATTGAACAATAAAATATTCATGATTACCCAAATTTCACATATTGTAAAGGTGAATTAATGATGACATATTTAATTTTTTTTCTCTTTCCTTTGAATTTCAACTAGTGCGGTACCAGTGCGATGCACAAGCTAGTTTGATTAAAGGAAGCATTTAAATTTAGATGATTGGATGATTGGAATAACGTAAAACGCATGAGAATAAATCAAAATATAACATATATATTATTAAACATATCTTTGTACACAACATTATTTGTTTGATCGTTTGGTACATCGTCTATTGCTACAAATTATACTAGGATTCTATATAGGTGTAAATAAATCAATTAAATTATTTCGCAAGAGATATGATTTTATACTGGTTATTGCATAGCCAAATGTAACGGAGATCGTAAAACGTCCTTCTTGATAATCTATAACCTTAGTATTTTAAAATTGTAGATTATTTAATTTTAATAAGAGAAAAATTGTGTACATGTATGTAATCAATTTTAAATTTGTATGATGATTAAACAAAACCAAAATATTTAATCACAAATCTATATCCAATCACACGGCTAAACTGGCGGATAATTTTTGTAAATTGATTAATAAAATATTCATGATTACCCAAATTTCACATTTTGTAAAGGTGAATTAATGATGACATATATTTATTTTTCTAATCTCTCTTCTTTGAATTTCAATTCAAGTTCTTTAAGAGCATGCTTGGATAGAAGATATCTAAAAAAATTATAATCAATTTTAACAAATAACTTTTTATCTCAAATTTAACTCAATTTTAACTCGATTCTATTATAATCAACATTATCAATATAATTAAATAATATTAATTAACTATTCTTACAAAGTACATTAAGTTTAATTCACTATTTATCCTTTTAAGAGCGTTGTTATTTTCCGCTTTGAGAGCGTTTATTCTCCATCTGTGGGAGTTGGTTTGTGTTGTTATGAGTGTGTTTGTTGTTGAGTGTGGGTTGTAAGCTACCTTCGAGTTTTAATAGGTTTTCCCAATCGTCGTCTCGTATCCTTGAGGTGTTGCCACCACGCTACAGCCCGTCCTCGCAACCGTGTGGACACGAGGCCAACCTGATGGTCGTCCGAGACATCTTTGTAGTACTCCAAAACCGCCTCCACTGATGCGAGCCAATCGAGAAAGTCGGTTGCGTCCAGCCCATCCGAGAACTCCGGTATATCCATGCGGAACGAGCTCTCCCAACGTCTCTCGTCGTGCGCCTCCTCGTCTGCCCGTGGATTAACTCGCCCGAACGGATTAAACTCCTCCACCGTACGTAGCATCCGACTCGCTGCCCTCTTCCTCGCACGGCGAACGTCGTCTGCCACCAAATCGCGCGTGACCGCGACCCCCACGGCCACCACGATACCCACCGCGACTGCCATCTCGAACCTCGAGCCCGTCGCGGTTCTTTTGGTTGCGTTGCATCATTGTCTGGAGAGCCAACCTGATGTCCTCCATGCCCGCCGAGAGGTCCGTTATCTCACGACCAATAGCTTGAAACTGCCGTCCTAAACCCTCGCCTTGTCGAGTGAGGGATTCAATCGCAGCATCTCGCCTGTCGTCCCTTTTGGGCGGCATTGTGGATATATCGTAGCTGAATTCTCTGATACCAATTGATGAAGCGCAGCGTAAACGAAAGGGAAATAAGATATAAAATCTCAAAATCTGATAAGTTTATTCAAAGATAGCCAATCGGCTTGAATGGAGAAGGACACAATATATAGAGTCCAAACTAGTCTAAATCCTATCTTGCTAAACAGGTAAATTCTAAATAATATTAAATATGCACCTACCAACTAGGAAAAGGAGAAATAAAGCATAATAATAAAATAACTAGGAAATAAATAATTAAACTAAGGAAGGTAAACGATCATATTTCTCCATAAATGCCAATGCGATCTCGTCTCCATCATCAAGTATCGGGGACTCCGAATAACCAAAGTTCATGTCTTTCTCTCTCAAAGCTTGCATCTTTAATTCAATGCTCTCGATTCTTAGTGCAATTAGCCTTAATTCAACCTCAACCAATATGATTAGAATGTGTAGGATTTCATTTTCCATTTGTGTGCTTTGGACAATTAACGAGTGAACGACGCTCCGAATCACTTTTCTCGAGAGTCACGATCCGAGGTCGGGACTTGTTCCGTACTCGGCTAAAATTAACTTAACAAGTATTGATATGCTTTATCCAATTAATCTGGTTAATCTTTTGTAAGTTTTTTTATTATTTTTTTTAGAAAAAAAATAAATGTACACATATACAAATAAGGTGAAGGAAAGAAATGCACTGGAAATGTTTTTACACTGTTATAATCTACGATGTCAACAATAATGTTATAAAAGATCATAATCCAATTAATTATTGTCATGTGCCATTAATGTTTTAACATTGACACTCATACTTTGAAGATACTCTTAATTTCTTTCTGGCAAGTGACTGTTAGATTATTCCTATAGCCATTTGGTCATCGACTGTAAATTGTTTGATGCTTTATAATAATATTTATTGTTTGAGAAAAAATAATAATAATGCGTTTCTATCGTCTATTAAAAAAATTAAACACTCCTTTTTACTTAAAAAAAAAAAAAGTTTCGCCTCTTATTTAGTTTAGTTATAATATTTTTTTACCCAGCAAATTTGTTGTCTGAATGTTACTATACTATTTTAGTCATGTCCTTAAAAATTTAAAATGTCACTTTTTGTAGGGAACAATATTTAAATATACATCAAAGATTCAAAATTAGATGGGAACGGGGTCTAATATAAACCTACATCCGCAAATGTAGGTCGAAATAAAAAAAA